TAAGTGAAATAAATCAGACCTGCATGTGTAAGCAACATATTGTCTCACTAGTGTAAGAACCTGAAAGAGTGAATAAAAACCAGGAGGTATGATAAACATGGTGAAATGAAAGGAAACTGCTCAAAAGTAAAGAACAACCAGGATGTGGGAAAAGAGAAAAGACAGAAGGGGAAAATTATGTATATATGTATATACAGGATAGCTAACATAGTTTTACTGCTGACTTCTATCACTTTATTGAGGGAACAGTTAATGATTAATTATTTTGATCAATCTTGCATGTCTATATTTGTTTTCCTGAGTAACCACTTTGAAGTTATCAATATGTAATACAACAACCATTGTTAATTCCCCGTCACCTTGTCTGTAATTCAGTAGTGTTTGTACTATTCTTGTGCTACTTTGTAAATGGTTGTCTGTTTCTTAATATGTTTTTGTTCTTTCACTTCTAAAATAATAAAAAAAAAAAAAGATCAATCCTGGCTGGGGATATAGTTCAGCGGCACAAGTGCCTGCCTGGAAAGTGCAAAGTCCTGAGTTTGATTCCTGGTACCAACAACAACAACAAAAAAAATCAGTATTGGCCAGGGATATAGCTCAGTGCACAGCACCTGCCTGGCAAGTGCAAGGTCGTAAGTTTGATTCCCGGCACCAAAAAAAAAAGATGAATCCTACTGCATCTTTAAGATGCAGGCTTTCAAAACAATAAAAATCATGACTCTCAAACAAATATAGAATGAACACATTGTTACATCCGGTGGGTCTGGGGCCTAGGGGTCCCCAGATTCACCAGTGCCGGGCCTGACTCCCTCACAGAAACAGGAAGAGGAGTGGGAGAGGACCAGTGCAGAGCAAAAGTACTGTTATTGGGGGTATCCTAGGAAGCCACCCTGGCGAAGGAGTGGGGGTGCACAGAGCCGGGTCACCCCTGAATCTGGGGCGGTGGTCCTGCTTTGTAAGGTAGAGGTCCCATCTCCACCCCCTGAAGGTCAATGCTTTATTAATTACATATTGGGCTTGTTAGGGGTTCGTCTTGTGGGCTATCGGGGAATTTTCCAGAGCAGCTTGTTTGGGGGAGTTACCTACCTGGAGGGAGACTGGGCGGGTCGGGGGGAGCGCAGCTTACACAGACACCAGTGTGAAACCACAGGCTGTCAGCTTCAAACCACAAAGCTTTTCCACCTCCTCTTCCAGGGCCTGCGTCTTGTAGCCCTCCGAGGGGTCCCTGCTGGCCCTGCAACAGGAGCGAGTTTTCGCAATGGTTACTGAAGTAACACGGCAGGTGTTGGAAGTAGTCGAGTTCTGTCTGGCTCTCGAGGAGTGGACGCCTTCACCCTCCAGTGCGTTTCTGCGAGTGCAAACCCACAGACAGAGTGCTGCCTGCCTGGAGGAGGGGCCACCTGGACCTCCAAAGATTTTACCTATGTGTCAGTCGAGAAACACTGACCGCATCATCAATGATGAAAAACGGATTTGTAAAGTATTCTACCCCAGTGACATGCTAGAGTCATAAAACCCGGATATTCCGGACAGCACACTGCACAGTCTCCAGTGGGGAACACCTAGCAAATATTCTGCTTAGTCCTCATTTACTCACAATTTCACAACAATGACAACTCCTTGAGACACCCGTTTCTCTGCTGTGTGAGGAGGACGAGCTGACTTGCCTCCTTCACCAGACAAACAGCCCCGCCCCGGCCCCCATGCTCAGAGCCAGAGCCCAGCCCCTCACTCACCGGCAGACAGGTCGCTGCTGGAAGACAGACCCTCCGTGTCCACGAGGGGAGGAGAAATGCGGAGCCTAAAGTGCTCACTGCCGTCCACAGCCCAGCAGAGCAAGGTGGTGTCCTCCTGGGCCAGCGCAGAGAGCAGGAGGTGAAGAGTGCGTGCCCGTGTGCCCGTGTGCCGCTGTAATGAGCTCCAGTGTGCAAGGAAGAAGGAAGCACCTCCCACAGCCTTGCCTGGGGCCCCTCCTCCGCGGGGATTGGGCGGACTGCTAAGGCACACAGTTAAGGCTTTCTGCTCTTTCTGGTCAGCAAGAGCATTTTCAGGAAAAGAAAACTAAACAGTCTGTGACTGCAGCGTGTATAAGGAAGGAGCGGTCAAAGCTGGTCTCAACCACAGGAGGCAGGTTCTTCACGGCTTCTGAGAGGTCATCTAGGAGGACACCAAGGGATGGGCTCTCAAGGGCCAAAGAGGGAGCGGGGACAAGTGGACAGGTTTCAAAACCTTCCGGTGAGAGGATTTCCCGCAGGAAGAGAAGGCCCCAGTGACTCTGTCTCATCGTGCCCTTCCCTCTATGGTACTGCGCTGCTGCCACTTTGCCAACACTGGCACCAACGGCCCTGACACGTCACTGGGGACAGGGCTCCCAAGAGACCCCGCAAACAGGGGCTTGATCGTGTGCTGTGGACAGCCGCACGCTACTTGGGGGAAACCAGGCAAGACAGCAAGGGGGAAATGCAGAGAGGAAAATGGGGAGGTCCTGGGGCTGACGTCTCCTCCGCACATGCTGCCCTGGAGGTTGTGCACAGCCTGGCCCTTGGCAGTGGCTTTCAGCGAGGTGCGGTCTTAGGAAGCACTGTGGACCTGCAGGTCTGACGCCCCCGCTCCCAGGTCGGCGGCAGACACAAGGAGGCAGTCCTGTGCAGAAGCACCAGAGCAACCAGCTGTCTGGGGCTTAGCGAGCTGTCTTCAAACAGGTCTAGTCCTCCTCCAGGTTAGCAGAGTTGACTTGTGGCCTTTCTGAGTTTGACAAAAGCAGAAGGAAAAATCCCCAACTATTCAAGAGCTAGGTATATGGATATTTCTCCTAAGGATAAATGTAAATATAATTAACACCAGACAGAGGAAGTGCCCAGCATTCTTCAGTTTTCCCTGAAGTCCTGGCTGGAGCTGAAGCACGGGTCTTGCATCAGACCTGAGGGACACGGTGAGCTGCCTCAATGCAGAAGAAAGAGGAGGCCCCAAGCAGCCCTCCGGCATCATGGCCTGAGCCATGTGTGTGGTGCAGGCCAAGGTGAGAAACAGGTTTTGCAAACAACTGCAAAACAGAGTGGACCTGAACCCAGGGTCCCAGGACACTTGAAATGTGGATCGATAGTTTGAGGCTAAAGGGAGGCAAGTCTGCCAAGGGTAACTGCACACAGGAAGATAGGGGCAGTGTCCACGGAGACAGCAGAGCGCACGAGGGCCAAAGGCTGAACTGAACGCTCACCACTACCCTGGCAAATGGGTGTGAATGCCCCTCGGGCTCTCTGGAGCCTGAGGAGCCAAATGTTTTGTGATCACTGAGAGAAGGCGATGACCTGGTGAGGTCTGGGCTGTTCCCTAAGACAGGTCTTCCTGAAGCTCCCTGTCGTCTCTGAATGTACACATGCACTCACTCAGCAGACCTTTCCTGGCAGGCAGAGGCCGAAGCAGGTGAATCTGTGACTTCTAGCCCGGTCCTCCCAGTCTCTTCCGTCACACAGACAATTGAGATCCGTTGTTTCTAACCAAAGTACTGATTCATTTTGACTAAATCACACCACGAGCGGGCCAGAGGAGGGTCGACCGCCTGAAGCGAGGTCAGCATGCGGGTCGGCCTCGTGATGCTTGCAGCCCAAACCCCCGGGTCGGCATCAAGTCTTGCGGCACAACCCGGAGGGAAGCACCTGCTGGGAAGTGAACTCGAGTCTGTGTCCTGACCATGATACCGCCTCGGTTTCTTCTGGGGAGTCAGAGTACAAATTGGAGAGGTGCTGAAGAATTGGGCCGGGCTGGTTCATGAGCCTGTGATAAATTACCTTCCAGGTACTGTGTAGGACAAGCAGGGAGAGAGGACGGAGGCCAGCTTTGCCCCTGGGCACCCGGAGACCTGGACAGGCTGTTCCCGCAGGGCCTCGGGCGCATCGCGACGCAGCGGGCCGGTGAGACGCAGGAGTCAGGGTCAGCTGTGCGAACCACACCTGGGGGAAACAGGAAGTGCTTTGTCCAGAGCTGAGCCACCTCCGGGGTCTGTGCAGGGAGACCAGAGCCCTTTAATCATTTACGGAGTAAACGGCGCCCCAGGCGATGAAGTCACCTGGGCCAACAGGAGAGAGAGGGCTCTGTGTCGGCGTGCATGTCTGCACACGTGTGTGTGCACAGGTGTGTTCGTGGGTGTCCACGCTCCTCCACTTTTGGGCGCTAAGAGGCAGGTGCTTGTGTGTAGTGGTGAACTGCTGTGAAAACCGAGCGACAATCACAACTGCGTCAGGAGAGCACTGGTGCAGGAACGAGGGCGAGGCCGCAGAGGTCCAGACCGCACAGGACGCTGGAGGGCGCGATGAGGGGGTCAGATGGGCAGTGCTTGTGGCAGGTACCAGGCAGTAATATACTCTTCTGTCTTCTTTCCTAATGGAATAAGATTAAACAAAGAGCTTAAGCTTAATGCAGGTGCCTGGGACATCCCCAGGCCTCCGTGGCTGCACACAGCCGAGAAATGTGTCAAGGAGCTCGGTCAGCTCGGCCACACACTCAGTGGTTACTGATTATTCTCATCAGTCAAGAAGTTGCCCACAGAACTGCAGGGCTGACTGAAGGTCAGCTCTGTGCCTGTCTGTGCCTAGGTTTGCATGTGCGCTTGGAGCACGTGTACATGGAAGTGTTATGCCGAGGTATGAACATTTTGTGTGTGTGCATACATGGATGTGTGGAGCAATATATGTAGAACTGGGTGACTTTAGCCTGAAAATGTTGAATTTCCTCCAGGTAGAAAATATACTTGGTGGGTCCTGCTCTTTTCTGTCCCCTGCATTGCTGGGGATGGGGATGACCTCTACCTTTACTCAAGAACCTGGTAGTAATATGCCAGGGGACAGCTCAGGCCCTAGGCGCGGTGTAGAAGGATACAAGCTGTGCGTGGCTGGGTGAGGACCTGACCAAAGAAGGCACTTGCCCGGCCGACACCGTTTGGCTTCCACTCTGTGCCCTCCGAGCCCCAGGAAGTGGTGCTGCGGCAAGGGCAGACGTGAGGTACTGAGCCATGCGGAAAGCAGGGAGAGGGTGAGGGCTCAGGATCTGCGGAGGTGGGGAGGCAGGAGGGTAAGGAATCCAGGATGCCGCACAGGTTAGGCTTGGTAATGGGAGGACCAGGACCAGGACCAGACACAGCTCACCACCTGTGGGGATGGAGGATGCTGGGTTGATGGCTGGTGTCGATATGTACTGAGGGCGCTGCTGGTGGAGGTGCCCCTGCAGCTGGACACACTGCACAGAGGCCAGCGAGATGGGCTGAGGAAGGGCGTGTGACTGTGGCCGGCGGGTCTGCACAGCAACCCTGGAGGAGGAACGCAGAGAGCTCCTCATATCGGGAGAATTCAAGTGTGAGCTCCTGCGCTCTCCCAGGTCCTTCCCAAATCAGATGCACATCCCAGAAGAGGTACAGCCGGGTCCAGGGCAGTTTCTCTTAGTTTCTGAGACATCTCCATGCTGATTTCCACAGTAACAGGTGGCTCAGAGGAAAAGGGGAGGGTAGATGCTGCTGGGGCAGGACTGGGGCTCTGGGTGCCCGGAGAATCGCCCAGCCAAACTTCCAGGCAGTGCAGGAACCCCAGGAGGAGACATGTGCCCAGCACCCAGGGGCAGGGTTGGGGCCAGCGCGGTGCTGTGTGAGTGTCCTGTCTCTCCCCATCCAGCCGCTGGGGTCCCTCTTCCTCCGCAGCGACCATGGGACATACTGAGCTCTCTGTCTACCCCGCTCTGAGAGGAGCACTCACAGCAGGCTGGAGCAGAACAGCGAGAGGGATGAAGTGCTGCCCCGGCCCCTCCGAGAGCAACGCGACTCCCCCTCTGCAGAGCCCTGTGTCCCCCCGTGCCAGGAGGCTGTCCTCCTCCAGGGGAGGAACTGTCACTCGGCTGCCCATGCCATGTGCCACACTCAGGGTGACCAGTCCTGGGTCTAATAAACGCATTTGTCTAATAAGCCCCAGACTCTTAGCAATCAGAGCCGCCGCTCCCTGTTCCGGTTCAGGGTCTCCTCACAGGAGACAGCTGATGCAGGGGCAGAAGTCGTCTTCCTCCCTCTTGCCTCAACCTGCCGCGCTGCTGACAACGTGGGGCAGGTGGAGGCCAACTACAGGGGCAGGAAAGGACTCTCTTGGGGAATTTGTGGCCAAGTCTGGCCCTGAGGTCTGTCCTACCCTCTTTGGAGGTGTTGTGTCTGACGAGGGTAGAGCCTTCCCGAGGTTTGTAAAACTTTACACCAATACAATAGTGATACAAGTTTTAGAAGGAACAGCAAAATCACTTTATTGAAAATAGGGAAAGAGGATCACTTTCTGGGAAAAAGAGAGAAATAAGGAGATAGACAGCTATCTCGTCAGAGGAAGACCAGGAGCTCAGAGCTGTCACACGGGGTCTGATCTCAGCCTCCCTGGTACAGGGTGGGAGAGGGACTGTTCCCCTCTGAGTGCGGCCGGCTGTTCCGGGCTCTGTGGCCCCGGCGTGGCCATCATCCCTCCCACTGCCCACGCGTACACCCTAGGGCAAGCACCCCTGTGGCCTCGGTGCTGGGCAGGGGCCCTCCTTGTGAGAGTCACAGGAGAGTCACACGCAAGGCCGAGGGAGGGGGTGCCGCACGGCCTAGTGTACTGTTACAGAGAGACGAGATGCACAGGTACTTACACACAGGGGTGTGTTTGATTTGCTAAGTGAGCCTTTGTAAGGTAGCCCCCTCCCCACTTTGCTGCTTTTGTGCGTAATTGGAGGTGGAGCGAGCAAGGAATTGAGCCTTGGTAGCCGGCCGGGGCCTTATGGGCTCTCTCTGTCTTTTCTACAATTACTAAAATACCGTATAATCAGCATCTAGATATCCTTTGTTCAGACTCACTCTGCTGTGCTACTTGATCCATGAATGCATCTATTCTCTTCTCCCCCTTTCTCTCTCTCTTCGCTCATCTCCCTCTCTCTCTGTCTCTCCTCTCTGTCTCTCTGTTTTTCTGTCTTCCTCTGTCTCTGTATCTGTCTCTTCCTCTCTCTCTGCCTCTCCCTCCTCTGTCTCTGTCTCTGTGTGTGTGTGTGTGTGTGTCTCTCTCTGTCTCTGTCTCTCTCTCTTTCTCTCTCTCTGTCTCTCTCTCTGCTTTAACTCCTTACTTGCCAGAGACCTCACGGAGGCCCTTTAGCTCTCCTTGCCTGTCGCCCGAGTTTCCCTGCAGTGGGGTGCCCGTCACTCACAGAGGATGCTCACCAGATGTCCCCATCTGTGTCAAGGACAGGAGAGGCTGGACGTACAGCACTCCTGTCTTCTGCTCGCTTTCTGCAAACAGTGGGGCGGCCTGGTCCTCTCCTCACTGACCTCCTACCCACACTGCTCGGTCCACAAAGAACCCTGTGGCAATGGGCTTCCAGCCGCCACGCTGAGTGAAAGGAGAAATCCAGGGTGCGAGGTCACTTTCAAAATCTCACAGCCACAGTCACTTTTGAAATCCCACATCAAGGGTGCGTAAGTTATCAGCAAGTGAAATCTCTGCCCCCCAAACCCAGAGAACTGACTCACTCTGTCACGCCACAACCGCTGCGTCCCAGCCCCCAGGCTGACCACACACCCCGAGGAGCTCTTCCCGCTGCTTGCACCAAATGGGGAGGTGAGCTACGAGGGAGGTTAAAGGGCCACAGGAGGTGGGGGGGCCTGCGGTCTGTCCAGGGCCTGCGGTCTGTCCTGCCCTCGTCCTAGGTCAGCACACAGGGAATCAAGAGACACAGAGCATGACATGGGACCTCCTGGGACCCTCGAGTGTGCAGCCCGGGGAGGATCACAGACAGTGCTGGCAGTGCGGCCAGACCCTGTCCCAGCAGAGCAGCCAGGCAGGAGCTGAGAGCCCAAGACCCTGTGGCGCTGCCCTGTGGGCCTCCACACCCGGAGCGCCAGGGCTGCGTGAGGAGGTGCAGCCGCGGGAGTCCTTCCTTCGGAGGGAACAGCGTGGGTGCGGGAGGGGAGCGCAGAGGCGGGGTGAGCCCTGGAGGTGGGAGGGAAGTGCCAGGGCCGGAAGGGAGCCAGCAGACCACACAGGCCCCACTCAGGACCTCACGCCTTGGCAGCCGCCCTGCCTCACCGGGCAACCCTGCGTCGCTCTACCCACCAAGCGACGGGGTGACTCGGGGAAGGCAGACACCTCCCCGTGCCCAGCCACATCGGTGGCCCAGGGCAGTGCTCTGAATGAGCACATCGCCCGGACAGTGCCCCTCGGTTATGGGGACAGGAAGAGGGTGAGCTGGGAGCCGTGAATCTTTCCGGATCCCGGAGACATTGAGGTCGATGGGAGGCAGTGCTTAGCTTATCATGGAGGAAGCAAGCACATTGACCCAGGGCAGGTGACAGCTCAGGGCAGGGCAGGGAGCCCCCAGGGCAGGGAGCACTGCGGCTGGGCTGAGGCAGCAGGTGCACAGGTCACCAGGGAAGACAACCACGGGGAGCGCTGCGTCAGCGGCTACGGGAGGGGCTGGGCCTCTGGGGCCTGCACAGCGGCCTTGCACAGGTAGACGCCCTCCTCTGAGCGGGCTCTGCGGTGGGGAGCAGCGGGGTCAGACTCAGGAGTGTCTAGCCCTGTGCTCTGCTGTCCCGGTCCCAGAGCAGACCTGGGACGCCCCAGAGCTGAGCTCACACGGGCAGTGCAGCTCTCTCACCCCTCCTGAAGGAGAACGCGGGAACTGTCCAGCGGACGCCGGGAAACTGGGCATTTCCAGGAACAGAAACTGAAAGCTGGGCTCGCCACAGCCCGCTCCTGCCAGAAGGGGCAGGCAGGACTCAGGCCTAGAAATAGCAGAGCAGGGAGCGAGAGAGCCATGGTCCGGGTCTGGGAGGACACCCGGGAAGCGCAGCCTCTCCACTCCTGCTCCTCTTCCCTGCTTGATTGCTGGCTTTTCCCAGGAGGAGCTCAGCCCTGAAGGCCTCACGCCTGTCCTTTCTGACTATATTTGGCCTGCATTCTAATTTTGGGTCTTTCCAGAAGGAGCAGCCCTTTACCTGAGGGTGGTGACCTTCACCCCGCGAGTGGATGACTTCCAGGAAAGGCCAGAGACACCTGAGCACATTCAACCCTCTGAAGCAGGTGAGTGAAAAGCTCTGAACGGCAGCTGGGCTAATACCTCTGCTAATACAAAGGCATTACAGGGGGGCCCTGGTGCCATGGTAGGAGAGTCTGAGGTCTGACCTCTTCCGCTTATAGGGTGTTCACGACAGGGCCCCCCGCCCCGACAACCTTAAGGGACCACACAGCACAGCAGTATTCTTGCTGAAAGAAACCCACCCACCCACCAGCATGGAGGCACAGCGCTGGCCCTCCCCGGCCTGTTCCTGGGAGTGCGCAGGGGCCAAGTTTGGAGAGCAGGGGCAGGATGTGGCACCTGGTTCTCCTGGCATCTAAGGTGGACTCTCTTGATTTTCCCTATGGGGACGGGGACAGACCCAGCCCTGGGCAGCATCTGAGAGAGCCTGCACTTTTCCAATGAGTGAATTCAAGTATTTTATCTGTTTTAAAAACACTGGCTCTTGCAGGGCACCGACTCGTTTATTTGTAGGTGAATAGGGTGGAGGGTTTTCTTTCGTGTTTGTGTTTTTCTGAGTGTGGCTTATCTCACTCAGTGTCCTTCAGGTCTATCCATGCTGCTGTGAATGACAGCATTTCATTCTTTCTGGCTGGATCTCCCACCACGTGTGTGCCACATTTTCTGCAGTCACACCCACCAATGGCCGCCTAGGCTCATTCCGTGGCTCAGCCCTCATGACGGTGCTGTAATAAACACGGACAGGCAGCTGTGTCTTGGGGTGTTGGTCAGTGCTTCGTTGCTGGGAGAGACGCTGAGAAAAACACCTTAAGGGCGGGAAGAACTAGTTTGGTTCCCGGTTGGCAAGTGTTAGTCCTTCATTGCTCTGTGTCTATTTCCTTCGACTGTCCTGAGCAGAACTCCGTCCTTCAAAACTACCCGTATGAGGAACACCTACAGTACACAAAGGGCGTCAAACACTGGACTCGAACCTCACAGCAACAGGCAAGGGAACCAGAGCTAGGCTTGAAAACAAAGTGGTGCTCAGTGCCAGGAGCTCCTTCCCTCTGGTCACTCCTCCCATCGCGTTTTCCCTTCTTGGCCCAGGCCTGGATTCCATTCACCTGGCTTCTGCCCGCCAGCTCTGCCCGCCAGCTCTGCCCCTGTGCACCAACCCAGCACCCAGCCATTCACCCCTCCACGCAGATCAGGGACCTTGCCTCCCTACAGCAGGACGCACAACCCGACTGATCTCGGCCCCTTGGGACCGTCACAGGGACCCTTGGAGGAGGACTCTAGGTAGTGCGGTCGGTGGCCTCAGCGGGTTATGGCTCCAAAGCCTACCTGGTGTGTGATGTGATGTGTGATGTGTGATGTGTGATGTGTGATGTGTGATGTGTGATGATGAGCCCTCCCTCCCTCCCTCCAAACTCCTGGCAGTTCTGTCATTTCACTAGACATCTCCCTCTCCTACCAGGCGTGAAGACCCTGGGGTGAGCCTAGAATAGGCTCTGAGAAGTGGGGCTAACGTGGGTGTTACAGCTTCTATCTAGCTGTCCCCCCAGCGCCTCATGCACTCACGGGGGGGGGGTGCTTTTGGGAGGTGACTGGGTCGTGGGGATGTGGATGAGTCCAGGACGAGTTTATAGCCAAATGTGATGCTGGGAGGTGAAGCCTGGTTGGAGGAGGTGGTCACTGCAGGCACAGCCTGGAAGGCTCTGTCTCTCCCCGCCCCACCCCTTGGTCTCTCTGCCTCCTTCCGCCCTGCCATGAGCTCTTTCTCCTCAGTGATGTCCCTCTGCCACGCTGCCCCGCCTTGGAGCCAACTATGGGCTGAAACCTCTACAAACTGTGAGCCAAAATAAACAGCGACAGGGAAGTACCATAGCTAAGACAGGGGGAATCTTCCTGCACCCCTGAAAACCAGTGTGGGAATGAGAACGAGGGGGCAGCAAACACGGGCTCCCACTCTCTCCCCAAATTATGAAGTGTGCATCCTGGCGAGGGTGGGTGAGAACTGACTGCCCTAAGTGGGCCACTGTCCCCAAAAGGAGTGTCGTAGCACGCGGCCACCGCCAGCTCTGTTCCGCAGGACTGTCTGCCACCTGGACAGACGCGGAGATGCTGGCGTCCACGCATCTCATCTCTCATGCACGTGCTGAGTGAGCCGGGACTTGCACATTCCTAACACTCTGCCTCTTCTCCACCAGCAGGTGTACTAATAACACTTATCTAGTTGAGTTGGAAGAAGATTAAATGAGACGAGGCACACAAACGACCAAGCCCAGACAGACTCATGAGGCCTCCTCGCGGTACTATTAAATAGAAAGAAGGGAGAATTCTCTGAGGAACGACTTCCTCGGGCGTCCTCACAAGCCCAGAGAGCCCTGAGAGCAGGAGCTGAGAGCGTGCGGAGAGCCCCACATGCGTCCTGTAGAGCGAAACCCCCGCCAACGCTGGGAGGTGGGTAGCAGGACTTGCCCACCACACCGGGCAGGAAACCGGGGCTTCAGAAACTCGTCTGTGCTCCACAGAGCGGGCGCACCCTCCACCAGAGGAGAGGCTCTCCGCCCCTTCCCTCTGTGGGCAGGCAGAGTCCCGGCCTTGGGGCCGGATGAGTGGCGGCAGGCGTGGGAGCTGTGCGGAGCCCTAGCAGGGGCTCCCCAAGAAGCGTGAGGGGAGGGGAACGTGTTCAGGGAGTTTGTGGAAGGCAAAAAGCCACCCCGTGGCCCCTGCCCTGGCCATGAAATTTGCCCCACAAGTGGAAGGGTGGGCCTTGCGGGGCAGCACTGGGCCACTCTAGTGCGGGGACAGGATGAGTTGCCAGCTGCTTCACAAGCCCCCACGGGTGGGTGAGGCAGGGAGTTCCTCACCTACCAGAGAGGCTCAGAGAGCAGCTCCTCAGCCAAAGACGTGGTTTTGAGTTTTAGTATTTTTAAACCTTTGCAGTCATGCACAAGGGGAATAGCGTAGACCTTAAAGGGAAAGTCAGGCAGCAGTCAGCCAGAATAGTGGGATAGTGAAATCCTGCAGGTGGGAACAATTTGTACTTTAGAAGCCTGAATAGACTCCAGTGGGAAATCCCAACAATTCTTTTCCAAGTCCTACCTCACAAATGCTTCAATCTCATTTCAAAGATTCAGTCAAAAGAGGGGTTGAAGGGAGAGTGGGGGGTATAGGAAAAAAATCAAGTTATATCATGTACAGGTACAAATTCCTTACGATGAATGTGATCATTATGTATACCTAAAGTGTTCCAATAAACTTAATACCTAAATAAATCCATTAATTAAATAGAGCTTCCTAAAAGTTCCAGCTAAATACAGAACAAAAATAAACAAAAAAAAAGATAGCCAACAAGACAGACACATGTTCCTGGCACAGCCTGGATACCTTTATTAACCAGACTACCAACGTTTATACACAGGATTGTGCAAACAAGTGTTTACTTAAAAATCCTAGGAGATGGCTGGGAAGGTTGTGTTGAATTCTCCACTGAAGGGGGTAGGATAGGTACTCACCATACATGCAGTTACTAGCAGATGTTGTCCCAATTTGGCCGGAAAAAAAAAAAAATATCTTGAGAAAAAGTAAAGCCCTTTTCACAGTATGAATAAAAAATAATTTAACTATTCTTGGTGCAGAAAGGCAACCCCAGGGAGGGCTCCTGTGGCCTCAGCAGTGAGCAGCTGGGTATGGACAAGTCTAACTTTTTTTGAGACAAGATCTCACTATGCAGTGCGGACTGGCCTTGAACTCACTATGTAGCTCAGGCTGGTCTCAAACTCATAGCAATCCTCCTGCCTCAGCCTCTCCAGAGCTGGGATTCCAGGCATGTGCCACCACACTCGGCAAGTGACTGGGTATGGAGAGCTGCCACAAGCAGGTCCTCCTGCCACCTCCCGGTCAGTCCTGCCCACCCACTTGTGATCCAAGGGTGCTGGTGCACTCACCACAGTCCTGCTGTGGGCCAGCCCTTGCCGTGACAGCTGCAGAGCGGGCTCAGGGTCTCCCTTCTCCCAGCACTGTGTCCGTCCCTGAGTGAACGCTTTGTTTGCTGTTGAGATCAGGGTGTCTTCACTATTTCTTTGCTTGCAGACCTGGGGCCCTGGCCCTGGGTGTGAAGCGTGTCACTTCCTGAGTGGCACACGCTCTAACTCCTGCGCTGCTCCTCCACAGGTGGCTCCTCTGCTGCCCGCCATGGCGGAAGACCATCGCACTCCACTCTCTGCCTCCTTCACGTCGGTGGCGTCGTATCAGAGAGGCTACAGCGTCCCGCCTGAGGTCAGCAGGAGGCTTGAGAAGGCCTTGAGAGAAGGGAAGTTGCTGGAAGTGTCTTCTGTGGCCAGGGAGACGGTGGAGACAGTGTCCAGAGCTCAGGTGAGCGTCGCCGTGACGGGGGACTCTGGCAATGGTATGTCGTCCTTCATCAACGCTCTGCGGGAGATCGGACACGAGGAGACGGCCTCAGCTCCCACGGGGGTGGTGAGGACCACGCTGACCCCGGCCAGGTACACCTCCCCCAGGTTCCCCGACGTGTCCCTGTGGGACCTACCGGGCATGGGGGCTTCAGGCCAGAGCCTCGACCACTATCTGGGGGAGCTGCAGTTCGGCCAGTATGACCTCTTCCTCATCATCGCGTCCGAGCAGTTCAGCGCGCACCACGTGAGGCTTGCCAAGGCGGTCCAGCAGTGTGGAAAGAGGTTCTATGTCATCTGGACCAAGGTGGACAGGGACCTCAGCACAACCCCGCTCTCCAAGGTCCTCCTCCTGCAGACTATCCAAGAGAACATCCTGGAGTGTCTCCGGAAGGAAGGGGTGCGGGATCCCCCCATCTTCCTGGTATCCAGCCTCGACCCTTCCTTGCACGACTTCCCAGCCCTGAGGAGGAAGCTGAAAGTGGACATCTCCAGCATCAGGTGCTGCGGCCCCTTGAAGGCCCTCTCCAGTATCTGCGAGGAGGTCATTAATGAGAAAGCGGCCTCCCTGAAGGCAAAAGTGTCCCGAAGATACCTCCAGGACGCTCTTGGCGTGGGGGATGCGGAGGACCTGGAGCAGTGTCTGAGGGCCTACCGCCTGCGCTTCGGGGTGGACGACGAGTCCCTGCAGCAGGTGGCCTGGAGCACGGGCAGCGTGGTGTCGGAGTACAGGACCATCCTGCCGTCCCGGGACTGGCACGGCCTCCGCAGAGCTGACTGGAAACTGAGGCTGTCCACCTGCTCCGTGGCGACGGCGCTGCTCTGCCTGCTGCCGTGGGTCCCGTGCTGTGGGCGCCGCATGGCCCGCTGGCTCGTGCGCGTGACACATAGACGCATGCTGCACTTAGTTGCCCAGGACACCAAGGCCATCCTGAGGAAAATCCTGGACGACTCCACGTGTCCTGCCTGAGCCAGGCTGCCAGCGGATGGCGTCCTCGTCCCCCGTCCTCGTGCCCCGCGGAAGTTAGGCTGCCTGCTCATCCTCTTCCCCACCGGAAGTCAAGAAATGTCAACTACCTTCTACGTATAAGGAATGTAGGGAAGGGGGCTGGGGATTTAGCTCAGCGGCAAAGCGCCTGCCTGGCAAGCGCAAGGTCGTGAGTTCGGTTCCCGGTACCGGAGAAAAACCAAAAAACCAAAAAAAAAAAAAAAAAAAAAAAAAAAAAAAAAAAGGAATGTAGGGGCTGGGGATATAGCTCAGTGGCACAAGCGCCTGCCTAGTGAGTGCAAGGTCCTGAGTTCGATTTCCAGTACCACACACACAAAAAAAGGAATATAAGGTTATGCAGATTTTTTAAAAATTGCTCATTTTCCTAGCCTCAATTATAATGCATTGTTCCTTTGAGGAAAATGTACTTATTGAAATCATTAACCAAGTCTCCTCAGTCTAGGAGGTGGAAATTTTGCTTTCAGTGGTAATTGTATGTGGATCTACACCAGTCTGTTTTTCCCCCTGAAGTAAATCACAGTAAATTCTTCTTCCTTGAAACTCCCGTGTTCCTCCTCTCCTTCCTTTTCCTGCACACACTCAACGCGGGCACTGGCGGCAGAGGGGCACTCGAAAGTGTAGGGGGACCTGGCCTGGTCACCTCTGTCCTGCTCAGTGTTGGGGACCAGATTCCGGCCCCACAGGTGCTTCCCCGTGAATGAGGAGCACGGGTGAGAGAGATGCCAGGATCCTCGAAGGGAATGTGTTGGCCCCTGACTGAACTGCAGCAAGGCCCCACCCAGCAACGCTTGGCTCTATTTTCTTAAAAGGAAATACCTATCCGGGCGTGGTGGTACACACCTATAATCCTAGCACTCGGGAGGCTGAAGCAGGAGGATCACCATGAAATACACTGCAAGACCCTGTCTCTAGACAAAACCAAACAAAACACAGAATACCTGAAGTGGGTTGTACAAGTGGAAACAAAGTTTATTAACACACAATGTTGGAGTCACTGCTGAGTACCAGCATCAGTTTTGTCTCTGGTGGGAGCTTCACTGTGAAACAGGAGGTCTGAGGGGCTCACAGGTAGGTGCACCGGTGTTACAACAACCCACTCTCTCCGCATTAGACCTTGGTCACAGTCTTTCTAAGGGCAGGGTCCTCAGAACCTGATCACTCATGCGAGGCCGGCTTCTCGAAGCTTCTGTCATCCCGACCCCACCACACTGCGGCCCAGGCTTCCAGCACGTGAGCCCTCCGAGGATGCACTCAGAGGTGTGAAATCCGAGCAGATACGTGGCAGAGCAGGCTGGGGGTGGCAGCTGTGTGCGGAGAGGAGGCTGCTGCTGTGGCTGAGGTGGCGGAGCTCATCTCACTGGGTTGTGCGGCTGCTGGAGCAGAGAGAAGCAAGCTTCTGGCCTCACTCCCTGCTGTCCTGCTTAATCATTAAGGGGTCCCTAATTTCTCTGCTACAGGAGATAACTGGTAATTCTAATGCTAATGTATGCAGAGAGGTGTGTCTTAGTTATTTTTCTCGTTGCTGGAATAAAATACCCAATACCTGAAGTTAAAGGAGGAAAGTTTTATTTACCTCACGCTGTGGAGGTTTCAGCCCACCATCAGCGGGCTCCAAGGGGGGTAGCCTGGCAGAGGGGCATCACAGAGGAGAAACAGTCCAGGTGGCAGAAGGCAGCAAAAGCGAGCAGGGAGAGACAAACCGCTTCCTGGCCCTTACATTGTGTGCAGGCCACTCGCCCCAGGCAGGCAGGCGTAGGACTCACACCCTTAACCCCAGCAGTCACAAACTCTAGATCCAGCCACCTCTGAAAACACTCCCCCCCGCATGACAACATGAGGCTTTGCGGGACATCCAGACACAAGCCATAAAGCGGTGCCAACCCTGCGACATCCGTTCCAGCAGCTCGTGGCTAGGGAGCAGTTCTCGTGCTGCCTGACCAGCCTCCACAGCATTTGCAGTAGTGAGGACTGAACCCTTGGATTGAACCCACCGGGCAGGCACTCAGCCGCCCCGCTACAGCCCCACCCCCCACCCCTAGAACTTTCTCAAGCTTTTCCATTGTTTTATCTTTCAGTGGTGTTTTGAACAGTCTGCCTGTTTGCTTCTTCCCTCCCTCCCTCCCTCTCTACCTCTCTTTTTCCTCCTCTTTTTGCTTTCCCACCCTTTACCTTCCTCACCTCCCTTCCTTCCCCTTTTCTCTTTTCATCTCTTTTTTTTTTTTTTATCTGTCCCAGCAATCCCTGCACACCTCTCCCTCTTTTCTGCTCAGGGGTCAGCAGTGTTCTCCAGCTAGTGGTCTCCGGCCAGTGGCTGCTTCTCCAGTTCTCCAAGCTACCAGACACAGGGCCACTGCTGTGATTACCAACTGCCTTAGTCACTTGTCTTGTTGCTGAGACACAATACCCGACACCCACAAGGGAGGAAAGGTTTGTTTGGCTCAGTTTGTAGAGGTTTCAGCCATCGTCGCTGGCTCCAAGGCAGGGCGGCATCGCAGCGGGGAGAACGTATCAGCCCTCTTTCTGTCCCCTCTATTTTATGCAGGCCACCAGAGTGTAGCACTCACACCCTCAGTCCTAGCCAGAACTGTGCTAAACCATTCAGGGGACTGACTGAGTCATCCCACACCCTTGATCCCTGCACCACACACTCCAGATCCAGCCACCTCTGAAAAGCGCTCCCTGTGACAGCACGAGGCTTTGACACAGCCGTGACACCTCTGGACCTAGTAAGATTTGTCACTAAATTCTAATGTTCACGGGTGTGTCGGGTCTGTTCCGGGTGGTGGAGCTTGTTTTTGTTTTGCTTTGCTTTTTTAAGGCGCTAGCCTCGGAGCTGCAGAGCGCTATCTGCATCCTCAGGCCTGGGCTGGCCAGAAGCTAGACATTCGCATTGGCTGCCACATTGCTCCAATTAGAGGCATGGAGCCCTGGGCCTGGCTAATCCAGTTTTTTTTGTAAATAACCAATCATCAATTTATTAAAATAGTTAACTTAGACATCAGCAAAGGTGATTTCAGCCTTGACTCTTGGCTACATACTGCCGGGAATGCTTCGCTTACCAGTGAAAATGAACTGAGGCATCACTTGTGGATTCTCATCTGGACAGGATTCCACGGCCTAGGAGCTTCACCACAAGGTGTTTTTCTTGTAGTGCTTCTCAGAATCTTGGTGACACATGAAGTGGGCCTTTCACTTTGTGATTTTTTTCCTGTGTGGTGTTGGGCCACCTCCTTGCTAGGCAAGTGCTGCACCCTTGAACTCTACCCCCAGCTCCACTTTGGAATTCTCCTCCTTTGCACCTCAGATCAATTCAGCACACATCCTTGGGGGTTTTGTATTGCAGCTGATGAGCATAATTCTAAGTTGGTGAGGCACTGACTCTGGTTCCTTGAAGGTCTTCCCAGATTTTTCTTTCTTCTTGTGGTAGTGCAGGTTGAACCCAGGGCCTACAAATTGAGCTACATCCTCAACCCTTTCTTACTCTTTTTAAATTTTGAGACAAGATCACACTGTATGTACTAATTTGTCCATGCTATGCTTGTATCTTGGAGCCTTCTGCCTCAGTCTCCAGATGTGTTGGAAACGTAGCTGAATTCCATGCTTCCCAGCTTCTTTCCAGCATCTGGGAAAGCCCAGGGATGGCTTGCTGGGCATGGTGATGCACGCCTGTAATCCTAGCACCCTGAGAGGCTGAGGCAGGACGACCGCATGCTGGACCCAGCCTGGGCAACTTAATGATTTAAGGAGACCCGGCCTCAAAGTAAAAAATTAAATGCACTAAAATGACTGGGGACATAGCTCAGTCCAATGGCATAGGTTTAATTTTTTTTTTAAAGCCATGGCTGCAGTGAGGCTCCCTGCAATTGGGGAGCAGAAGGGCCCCAGATCTGTCACACCCCCGGCACCTGCCAAAAACGAACCCAGTTTTTGGTGAATACAGGTTCTTGGTTTTAATGACATCAAAGGTTTATTTTCCTTTATTGTTAATGCTTACTATATTCTTTTAAAGAGCACTTTCCTATCGTAGGTTTTGTAAAAAGGCAATGCTGAGAATCAACAGCAAGTTTGAGCCCATGGTGGGCAACTTAGCAAGACCCTGTCTCAAAATAAAAAATGAATAAGGCCTGGGGAGGTAGCTCAGTGCAAAGACCCAGGGTTCAACCCTTGTACCACCAAAAAAGAAAGAAAAAAAAGTGTTCACCTGCCACTTTCTTTTTTGTTGTTGTTTTTTTCCCATACTGGGAATCAAACTCACAACCTTGGGCTTGCCAGGCAGGCGCTGTGCTGCTGAGCTAAATCCCCAGCCAGTGTTCAAAAAGTATTCTAGAGCGAGGTTTGCAGTGGTGTGGCTAGGAGGTGGCACTCACCTGCCCAGGAGCCCTCACCTCCCCTGCCTGCGCTCCCCGCAGCCCCCAGGGCCCGCCCTCCTCCGTTCTTCCGAATCTCCTTGAGGTTGCGCATGCGCTGTGTCTTTCACAAACCTACTCACACGCAGCAACAACTAGCCTGCCAGCGCGCTTCCTGCACTCGAGCATAGACCGCCAAATTCAGCTTTGTGCATTCCCTTTTAGCTCACACTTTTCACACAGGTAAGTGTGTCTTGAATATTTGGAGCTTCAGTGAATATCCTTATGCACACATCTTTTTGAACTGATTTCTGCTGACACATTTGCAAAGTGAGCTGGATGTGGTGGTGCACGTCTATAATCCCAGCACGCAGGAGGCTGAGGCAGGAGGAGTGCCGTGAGTTCAAGACCAGCCCAGACTATGTAGTGAGAGTCTGTCTCAAAACGCAGAAAAAGAAAACTTTTCCCCGTGAGTGGCTGGGGATGAGGGCGCCACCTGACACAGCACATCCGGAAGCCTGGGACTCTGCCGCCAGGGTGCATTCCCAGCGCTTTTTAAAATCCTTTATTTTGACACAGTTGCCCGGGCTCAGCTCAGACTCGTGGTCCTCCCGCCCCAGCCCCCGGAGCTCTGGGATGACCCGTGCGAGCCACCACACCCGGTTCAAACAGTTTTCTGACCCCAGCGATAACCTCGGGAGAAGAAACTTAGGAGATGAGTCACATGAAACACAGGGACGGGGCAAGCGCAGCTCCTCTCCGGAGTCGCTTACGCACTGGGCAGTCTCCAGTCAGGCCCGGCTTGTGTGTCCGCGCTCC